CGAGAATTCCTACATCACGGGCTTTGGGCTGGGGACTCATAGATGCCAGTCATCCTAAGCCATGTTTTCTGTTTCATCTGTTTCTTAATCAATACAATTTTTTGTTCAAATTTACTTCATTTGTCATCTATTTTTTTCTTAGATCTTCATTTTTCTGACTACAGTTCTGCATACATCTTTCTTTCACGAAGCTTCATTGTTATACCTGGAAAGTTATACTTAAAAAACGTTTGGGTGCCAACAAAATGTTCTGCCATTTTTTTATGTTTCTATACTAAGTGATCATTTCAAAGCATCAGCGATGTCTTTTAAATAATTATTTTTTTCCCCAGAATAATATGACCAGGCTTTAGATTTTAGTGGTTTTGATTACTTGGGATTATGGTTTTCCAAACTGTGGCTCAGAGTTTTGAAGACCAAGGAAGTAAGAGGACATGTTAGCAGTGCGCCATGGTTTGGTCTTTTCCTCTCATTTTAATATAAAGAGTGAATAGGGCCAGCCAGATTGCTCAGTGGGTAAAGGAGCTTACAGTCAAGCCTGATGATTGAATTTGATTCCTGAGACTCACATGGAATAAGGAGAACATTGACTCCTCCAACTTGTTCTCTGGCCTCAGTGTATGCCATGGCACACACATGGGTATTTGAATACACACTCAAATGAAAAAAAATAGATGTATTTTAAAAAAAATAAATAGGTTCAAATGTGGTGGTGCACAGCTACAATTCTGGCACCTAGGAGATAAAAGTGGGATTGGATTTCAAGGCCAGGCTTAGCTACATAATGAGTTTGAGGCTAGAAAGTGCTGTATAGAACACACACACACACACAAACGAACCCATAAAAATTACTCAAACAAAACAAAGAGAATAGGGTTGGAATATGCTGACAACCCCACCACCTTACTTTGTCATACATTAAAGTAGAATCCTTGGAAATCCTTCCACTGATGAGTGGAAACTGAAAACGTACCTTGCAGAAGTAGGGAAGAGAATTGAGTCTATAGAATCTCGGAGTATAGGGAAGAAGGATAGAAAAAGGATGGGTGTGGAGTATGGAGACCTTGTGGGGAAGAAGTTCTAGTTTTCTGTAGCACTTGTGGCTGCACTGAACAGTTTAGTAAGCATTTCAAAATAGCTGGGTACAAGAGGATTTTGTAGGTTCCAACCTGAGGTTCAAAGTGATGAAAAGGATAAATACTGATCATTATACATTATATTCATACATTGAAATATCACATTATACCCCAAATTGTGCAGTTATTGTATGTCAGTTAAGCATAAAAGCACACAGGGAGTGGTGGCCTTGAATCTAAGCACAGGGGCAGAGGCAGATAGATCTCTGAGTTCCAGG